CACCATCATCGGTCGAACGCTCGAGGCCGCGCTGCAGATCTTCCCGGCGTCGCATATCTACGTCATTGCAAACGGGAACTCGTCCCAGCCGCTGGACAACACCGAAGAGATTTGCCGCAGCTACGGGGTCAATCACATATGGTCACCCGTCGGGTCAAAGATCATTGCCATATTCATCGGTTGCTACGCTGTCAAAGACTTTCGCAACGTCCTCTTGATCGACGACGATTGTATCCTCCCGCCCAACTTTCCTGTTGTCGTGTCCCGACTCAACGAGGATGTCCGCTGCATCGGCTATACGATCAAATCCGTCGGACCCGATTCCTCGCGCGGATCGTATTGCCAGCAAGCACAAGACCTGGAGTACAAACTGTCTGGCCTGACCCGGTGTTTCGCAGGGCGGATCGGCAGCGCGACATTCCCTCACGGAGCCATCTCACTATGGGAACGGACGTTTCTGAAGCGGACGCTCCACAATCATCCCGGCTTTTCGATTAGCGAGGACTGGTTCCTGGGTGATAGCTGCCGGCGCTTAGGGGGCAGGATCCAGATGTGTAGCGCCGTCTTCGTGGAGACCACGACGCCCGGCTCTGTGCTGTTCGGCGAGATCGACGAATCTCGAGGCGGATTCGGCGAGCCCACGGTCTTCAGGCAGCGGTTCCTACGGTGGAACTTCTTTGTCGCCAATGGGTTGTGGTACAACCTCTCCTACCTCTTTACATCGTGGAAGTTGGGCCGGTGGGAATTCGCGACAAAGCTCTTGGTCATTCAAGAGGTATGCACTTTCGACCTTTACTCTGTGGTTGACTCGATACTGACTGGACAGATATACGAGACGCTTCTGTACATCCTCACTCCGTTTATGCTGCCAATATCGTTCATTGTACGACCGGAATTCTGTATTGCCCTCTTAATGTCGACATTAGGGCTCTATCTACTTCACGTCATTATATTCAACGAGGTTCATTTGCGTCTGAAGAATGAGCGAATTTGCTGGAAGGTTGTCCTCGGGTATTATGTACGTTGTCGTCACCCTTTGCCTTTACATGTTTCTCTACATGGTGCTGACTCGCAAAGATGCCATACAAGCTTCTCATGACCTTCACCAACGTCGCCAGCTGTTACTGGTCGCTGGTCAAATATGCCCGATATTTCGCCCGACGACACCCGAAGCTTACCGAGGACCACAAGGCAGTTGGAATGGTGTTGAAATTGGAAGAAATGACGGACAGCATAGGGGAAATACCCAAGGGCCTCGGAAGGAGTATGACCGTGCGAACCGTTGACGTCGATGCGGCTGTAAATAATAGAGATTTCCTCATTGCCGAGTTGCCGGCGGAGAGATATCCTTCTGGTTGACGGGCTTGTATGCCTCGGTCTATATATATCTCGAGAACACTGCTGCTAGATCTGCACATCTTATGATACTGGGTAATATGTATATTCTATATAGGAACCTAGGCAAACGATCCTTTGTTCGGTCTTCATCTACATCCCCAACGTAGTCCGGAGGTTGGCATTGTTGGTCCGCGCATATGGGAGGAGTGCGTATAGTCATAAATTATCATTCTAGCTATGGACTCGAATTATGATTAAAATGGAGTATAATCTCTAGTGCCTCGTAATCATGAATCGTCGACAATCAGCAGACAAACCAGGCGACCCACCCCATGAACATCAACTTCAACATCCAGCTCAGAGAGCCATGCATCATAGCCCCGTTATCCACCCAAAACACCATGGGCTGAGTATCCTGCTTAATCGCCACAGCCCGAGTCGAGTTCCTGCTATCAAACGTCCCAGAGAAAGTGATATTAAACATCGCACGAAGGTTCTTTCCAGTGCCAGAGGCGTAAGACCCGTTCCCCACCCCAGCCATACTCAACTCCAGAGTCGTATTCGTCAGGGACCCAGACATATTGAGCCCATCCGTGTATCCAAGGGACAGCCGCGACTGTCGGTTGCAAGCCGACGCAGGCAAGAGAATCTCAACATTGTATGTCGGCGGGGGCTTGAGACCCGGCACCAAGCTCCCATTGAACAGGACAGAATCCGGTCGCTCCGCGTCAAGCGCCAGGCCCAGATCAAAGACATCATGCGCGCGAGCCCGGTCCGCGCGCGGGATATCGGTACTAGCCTGGTAGTCCGTCCATCCATTGCTGGTCTGGACCTTGACGAGATCCGGCTCCGTGGGACAGTACAGCCCGTCGTGGAGAAAGTCGTACGAGAAGGTGATGTTCTCGAGCGCTTCGTTGGTCTGCCACGCCTTGAACCCGATGATGATGGGGTTTGTCGGGCCGGTGGGGTACGGCGGCTGCGGGCCAACCCATGCGTAGCCTAGCATTCGTACGGTGCCGGTGCTGTTCCGGCATTGCCTGCCTGCGGTGAATTGCCAATGCAGGAATGCCTCGCCCTGGAAGTAGGACCCGTCGTATGTGGTTGGGTTTCCGCCACGGACGCCGACGGCGTTGCTCGTCCAGTTGTAGACGTTCAAGGGGATGAGATCGCTCTTGTATAGTATATCTGATGTGGCGGGGCAGGATGAACTGCCGCCGCCAATGGTGCTGGTGCCCTCGGGGTCACTGGAGGAGTCGCCGTCGCCATCGCTTGACGTATCGGTGTCAGTTCCACCTCCACCTCTTCTGGCGGTGACGGCTGTGGGAACTGCTAATAGGACCAGCCCTGAAGCGAAGAGCTTTGGGAGATGCATCCTCGCAGATAGTAATGAAGATTGATGGCGGAGGAAAGCAGTCTTGCTTCCCCAGCGGTGAAGGAATTTTGATCACCGCGGCGGGATATTCGCCAAGGCCTGTGCTCGGCCTAACCTCGTATTCGAGCAAAACCATTGAACCGTGCTCGTTCATTGGCAGGAATCGCCCTGGATACGAAGCCAAGAACACCGGTTGGATTTGCCAAGCTGCGAATGGGCCTGCCTGTGCGGCTCAGCCTTCGACACTTTGACCAGCAAAGATCATAGGACCTGGAGTCATCATATAAACTTCGTGTCCGTTTTCCGGTTTCACTCAGCGAGAAGGACAGGCCCGCACGTGGACTGGCGAATTGTTTATGAACTGTTCGACTGTGATCCGGCCCTGCTGGATGGAGAAGCGCATAGGAGGAATCGCTATCCTCTGCAGGGCGGACTCTGGGAGAGTCTTCCCAGGAGACTATCTGCAGAATCAATGACCTAAAGGTAAATCTCTTGAGGCAGCGGAGATAATCAGACCTTCCGTCTGAGTCGATCAGATCGGTATCTTAATCGTCTGTGATCTGTTATTGAATAGCTCATAGACTTGCCGAACTGTACACTCTAGGGTTCTCGAGGATTATGGTGAGATATGTAAAGGCTTGCTTAGATAGTGGACCTCTGTATTAAAACTCTTCCCTGCTTAGCACTATTAGCTTAATGCAACTCCTAGTAAGCCAGCCGGGATCTATTTTTATGAATGAATGCTTGGCAAGGCTTGAATAATTTGCTTGCTGAGGTTATGAAGGACTTATGCCACTGTAGATTGTTTCATAAATAAAATTGATGTTTGCTGCCTAGACCAAAGTATAACTAACCCTAAATGATTGGCCCTAGCTTTTCTAAGAGCCCCTGGTAAACGTCTGCTTTCTTCCCATCCCCGCCGACTAGCTATGTGATACTGATCTGAGATTATCCCTCCGGTTTTTTTCTAGATTGTTTAAATCGTAATGGGGTCTCGGCGCTTCAAGCGACAGGTCATTGTCGCAACTCTCCTTGCCGCCACGGTCATCTGGTTAATGCATTCTTTCGAACATGAGGATGCGGAAGTGGCCAGTAATATGCCGTTACTACCGAAATACATTCATCCGGCCAGTGGAAAAGGAGGTGGTAAGACACGCACACACTAGCTTCCCCGGGTCTCACCCCCGCTAACAAAGGCAGCATGGTATATTCCTCCTTCATGGTTGGAGAATGCTACGACTGGACCACAAAGCATTGTCGAAGCGGCCAAACTAGCCTCCGACAAAGCACAAGCGCCTCAAAGGCTGATAACCCTCTCCAGCATTCCGATGATCGTCCACCAAACATGGAAGAGTACTGATCCGCAGACATGGCCCCAGCCAATCCGTCAGAGCACGGAGTCATGGCTCCGAGCTGTCGAAGAGGACCAGATGGCTTACTTCCTCTGGGATGACGAGGGTATTCACCAGTTTATCAAGCACTTTGAGCCCGGTCTGGAGAAGCAATTCTACGCGCTTGCTAGCAATGTCGAAAGAACGGATATCTTTCGTGTTCTGGTTTCGAAGTGGATCGGTGGTGTTGTACGTGCCCTTTCCTCCTGTCATATTTAGAAACTTGGATTAATATCTCAGTACGGTGATATGGACACCGAACCACTCCGCAAGCCCAAGGACTGGATCAACGCCTCGGACATCCAGCCCTGGCGGGACCCGGAAACAGGCGCCGTGTACAGATCCACCAAGCCTGTCCGCGCAATCGTCGGCCTGGAGGCAGACTGTCCCCCCGGTAGCGATTTATATTGGCGGATGGGGTATACCTACCCCGTGCAACTAACGCAGTGGGCTTTTGCCTGGGCGCCGGGACATCCGATCCTCCAGATGTTTATTGATCGGTTCTCTGCGGCGACGCAGGAGATGTCGAATGAGGCAGTCGATCCGCTGGTTCTGACGGGCCCGGTTGCGTTCACGGAGGCGGTGCAGAGTTGGTTGATGGCGACGACGGGGCTACGGTGGAATGCGCTGACGGGATCGCATGATGGGGGGAGGAGTAAGTTTGTGGAGGATGTCTTGGTTCTGCCGATTACGGGGTTCAGTCCAGGTAGAGGCAAATACGGCAATATGGGGTCGAAACCCGCGACAGACCCGTCTGCACGACTGCTCCATCGAGCGCAGGGCTCATGGAGGAAGTTTGACTTTATAGTGGAGTACGGGAAGTTCTGTCGGACGGTGTTTGGTCGGTGCAGGGAGTGGACCAAAGTCCCTCATACATCATTCTAATCGTGTATATAATGTTATCGAGAAGGGGGAGGTACAGCTTCGAACCCATCCTGACCAGGTCTTCTATCTTCCACAACCACCTCCATCCCCCGTCGACCACAGAACCCATCATTCCCAGCAGTAACCTCGACCATTCGAAACGAACCACCATTCTGTAATCCCTCATCCGGCACCCAAACCTCCCGCTTCACTTTTGATTCAGGCACCTCCGTCCTTCGCGGATTATCCCATGGCAACCCAACGACCCTATTGAGCAGATCATGCACACGCACATACAACCGCTCAAACCTTCTCGTAGTCCCCAGCCACGCCAACGTCCTGGTCGTATACGCCACCCGCACAAACGGATTCATATACACCCCCGTATCCCGAATCTCGTCTACATCCTCCGGCGCATCCTGCACATCCGCATGCACCAGACAGCACTCTGACGCATCCCAGAATACCTCGTCATCAGCCCGGAACCGCACAGGATCGTCCTTCTGGAAATACGACGCATCGAACGCGACCATCCCGCCCCAGCAGCTGCGCACGCGCACCGCGTCCCGGCCAGCCAGTACGTCTTCCCGACTCCGTCCGTGCCCTGCGGTCGTGAACCAGGGGAAGAACGGGAGCCCGATGCCGTACCCTGCCAGGTCGCGGGTGGCGTAGCTATCGTAGAATTTGAAGGGGTTGGTGAAGTCTACGGCGCAGGCGGCGCGGTAGGCGGGGGTAGATCGCGGGGGATGAGCGTTTGTGCAGAAGAGGAGCTGGAGGGCTTCGACTGGGTTGAAGTAGACGTCGTTGAGGTAGAGGAGGTTGTCGTACTTGATGTGTTTCTGCTGGTCGAGGGGGCGCAGTGCGCGGTTCCGCAGCGTCGCTAGGTAGTCGATGCGCTTGATGCGGTTTTGGCCGTTGGGGAGCGTGACGCGGGGGAAGGCATCGAAGGTAGTGTGCTCGTCGGCATCGACCACAATGGACTTGTTGCTTTGGATTTGCTGCGACAGGGCCTCGAGGGCTTGCTGGCCTTTTTGCCCACTGTTGTTTTCGTACAGGCTGAGGAAGACGTTGTCTTGCCCGAGTAGGTCGATTAGCTGTACCAATGCGTCACCCCATTGGCCGCTGGCGAGCTCGCCGGTGCGGTCGTATAAGATTGCGGCGATGAATACCTTTTCATTGTGGGGGTTGCCTCGTCCGGGGGTGCCTGGGTTTGAGGCTATTTTCTGGAGATTCTCATAGCAAGGTGGAAGGTGCGTGTACGAAGGCCAGAAGATGGGTGTCAATATGATATTGCACAAAAGGACCGCCAGACCTATGCGGACAAGCAGGTTGATACGGCGGCACGCGGCCCGCGGACTCCGCGCAAAGGAGATTGCTCTGCCATGGCGAGATGACTGGGGAAGAACGGAATACCCTGACGAGGGGAAGGGGAGCAGCCTGGAGACCAGGAGCCGAAACTTAACGCGCAGCCATGACATGGCGGTTGAACACAGAATATGCGCAATATCTCCACCGGAAAAGATAAATATAGTGCAATTTTCAGGATATCATCTTAGACTGCTTAGCTACAGCAGGGAAACCAAGACAGTCTGTTATGTGCCCAACGCCATAAAGTCAAATAACAGGGTCCTGTAGGCAGACGGATTTTGCGCAGCTGGATTGGCGCATCCAGAGACATTCGGAAACGCTAACTTAAAACTCATCAAGCTCTGCGAGAGCTATTATAGCCGCCAAACGCAAATCCAACTGCCCCAAGGGGTCTGTAATCGTATAACGTGTATTTTGCTGGTATTGTATGTAACATGGAAAGGCTGAAGGACAACAATCTCGAACAAGCACTCATCCTGGCCTTGCAATGAATTCGTCTTTTTAGGCCTGAATACAACTACAAAGCAAGAGTCTAAGAGAAACCAATCTCATCTATTGCAACATGAAGCTCGTCTGGATAGCCCAGCGTCTCGGTCGGCAAGGCCAACGACGCAAGTTAGCCCGGATAGCTTCATCCCTCTTCTTCATAGTAGCCCTCACTGCCTTATGTCTCTATATCCTACTCGCATATTACCTGGCAAATGACCCACGGCTGGTGCCCGTGGCGTTTCAGGAGGCCCGGAGTATCCTCCTCGTAACAGCCCACCCGGACGACGAGACTCTCTTCTTCAGTCCGAGCATCACTTACCGTCGCGAGGACCAGCACGTGCAGCGGGCATTGTTGGTGATATCCTCTGGTAGGTTCGACATTCATTCCTCTCGTCTGATGCTTACTCGTCTAGGGGATTACGACGGAATAGGTGAGCGTCGCCGACAGGAGATCCACGATAGCTGCTCCGTGCTAGGCATCGTTCCGGATCGGTGCGTCGTACTGGACAATGCAGAGCTGCAGGATAATCCCAAGAAATGGTGGGATGGGGATCTGATCAAGGGACTTGTTGCGTCGCACGTTCAGAAATGGAATGTTGATTTGGTATGTATGCTATTTGCCTTGCATTTAACTGTTGGTACTTATTTCCTAGATCATCACCTTCGACGACGGAGGCGTCTCGGGGCATATCAACCATAGAGCCGTCAGCGCCGGTGTTCGGTTCGTTCTCTATCTTCTTCTGTCCCTAACTCAGCTAATCAAGTAGAAAATATATCACAAGCACACCCAACGCCCCGCCCGTATACACACTGCAGAGCACCTTCCTCCTCCGCAAATACTCATCGCTCCTCGACCTCATCTCCACCTCGATTCCGTTCTCGTGGCGCATCCTCAAAGCCATCCTTACCTCTCCCGCGTCAAGTACGGCGGACCGCGTCCACGATCTTTCTCCGCTGGAGGCATACAACGATAAGGTCCTGCTGGTGAGTCCCTGGCGGACGTACCTCGTCTCGCGAGCGGCATTCACCCAGCACGCGAGCCAGTACTCGTGGGATCGGTCGTTTTACTTGGTCCTCAGTCGGTATATGTGGTTTAACAATTTGAATAAACTAGTAGTTTGATGTCGTTTAAAGAATCTATATCAACATGGTAGATGGCGACTGCTGCACAGTTTTCCTTTATACATAGCGAATTACAAACAGAATATGACGAAGATACAAGCTAAGCACTTTTCGTCAACGACTTCGAGACAGTTATACTCTGCTCCTCGTCCGAAGAGCGTCCACGCCCACGCACACGATGCACACAGCACAGTATCATCGTTGTGAGGGCAAAAAGACTAAAAACCAATACCGCAAACAACGCCCGCTGATCGAGATTCTTAAACAGTGAGATCAGCCGCGCGTCGCGGTCATGCCAGGAGGACGAGCCCAGGTGGCGGAAGAGCGGGGTGTTGACCTGCCCGTTGAGCTTGTGCAGGCGCGGTGCGTCGGGCGGCCCGGACAGGATGCGGAGAGACGATCGGTTGGATTGGAGGGTGTAGATTGTTCTGTATGCATTAGGCTTGTATTACAATGGGTTGGTGTAAAACGTACGAAGCGTAGTGGCAGCCCGTGCTGAACATCACCGTCACATAGGGGAGATATAACCACCGCCGATTGTACAGCGGGAGATTATCGACCAGGGCTTGGACGTACGGATTTCCCGGGGAGGAGAGCATCATGCCGATGGAGAGACCGGCGGGGTGGGCGGCTGGAGCGACAAAGTCGAATTGTCGCAAAGGCTCGAGGGATCGTTTGCATGCCAGATCGTAGTCGAGGATTACGCCTGTCGAGTCAGCTCCATCACACTTCCCGGGTAATAGACTTACCACCGTGTTTCTGGAGTATCATATACCGTAGCGCATCAACCCGCTGGATCATGTACGGATAGCCCTTCCACATTGCGTAGAGATGAGGAAAGTCCTCGCGTACCAGCTTCTCCGCACTCTCCTCGTTCCAGATGAAGGTACTCCAGGAGGCATGATGCTTGAGGCAGAGCTGGCGGGCCGCGAGCCACTCCTCTCGTGGCGGTCTGGAGCCCAGGTGAATGTGATGCAGTATGGGAGGTATCAAGGCAGGATGTCCCAGCTCAGCAGTTGAGTAATTGGCCTCGACGGCGGCAAACGTGACGTCGAATTGGTCATGTTCTTGCGAGATGACTGAGGCTGCAGATGAGGCTTTCCAAACAAAGGGGAGCCGAAGGAGGTAGTATAATCGCTGAAGCGAGGAGGAAAACAGGGCGCCAAACGAAAGCACCAGAAGGAGGATTAGAAGCAATCGAACACGGTTGCGCGCCATGATCTCCAGCAGCGGACAATTTCATGGCCCATGGGAGTGATGGCTGGAGAAGCTACATGTATATGCAATTGAGAAATTCCAGAAACTACACCCTACAGACTCTACTGCTGCCTGGAGAGGCTGAAGTTTACACCTCTGCGGGTCAGTCCAACCAACTGACAGACTTTGTTGGAATGATTGCCAGTTTCAAGCTGGGGCCAAAACTGGCAACACACAGAGGCAGACGGGACGTTGTGGCGCTGAGCCCTGTATGGAGTCCCTGACTTGTGTTTCTGTGGTTTGTTATTGCTAGTTATCTATATATGTGTTTACTAACAGGTTACTCATCTGATTTTTCTCTTTTTTCCATGGTTCATACTCAATTAACCGACTGGTCAAGGGGACAAGGAAGGATATTATGGCTCCTTTTGGATTTCACAGGTAATTGAGCCTAGGGGTCCCCTTGATTGTGGCATATATCAATATATCACACGTACCGCTGTGGGACAGTTTTCCTAAGCGACTTAACCTTTCAACCAGTCCTGGTCATTGGCGTGTTCGGATCCCGCGGTCTCCGATGGATGCAACTCTCCGTCTACGCTTATGCTTCTCATACAGGTCTCCTACTGCCGGTTTAATTCAGGCATATTTAAGTTTGCTCTGCTAGACCCTCTTCAACCAAATCTATGGATCCTTAAATCAGGCAACAACCGTGGTGTCGATCCGACTGGAACCCTTGTCGGTGGGCGGGCAATCCTGTGGTCAAATGCCAACATTCGACGTATCATATCTCGGCTTGCCATGTCCTTCGTAGGCCGGTTTAGCGAAAGATTATCAGGCTTGACCGGCTAGACAACGCTATAATAGAGCTTGTATAGCCAGTCCTGGCAAGAAGGTAGCCGGGCTATGCCTCGCAATGGTTCTGCCCCGTCAAAGTCTGACCGGGCTATTAAAAGACATTGAACGGGCCAATGTGCATGTAAATTGGAGTTGGAATAGAGATAGTATTATACCATGATTACAAAGTTAACCACAATAAGCGGTAAGAGGTCTCACAGGTTGATTTAGGGCAACATCCTTCGTAACATACCGTCGTGTATTTTACAGTACAGCGGCATACGGACCTTTTTTTTGGGTTGCAGCGAGTCCTGAGCATTCAGTCATTCCATTCTAGTTACATGAATATTCGTCCTGCAATCCTTGGCAATCTTGATCAAAGAGCTTTGCCTGGATTCTCTCTCTTCTTCACCTTTCCTTATCAATCTCACACTCACTGACTCACACACCACGGGCTAGGCTACTATGTTTACACCCCTTCCAACGGTGGGCTAAATGGGATAAGCTCTGTAGATCCACTCATAGCTGAGCTTGGCGTATGGATCATCCAATCATACAAGGACGGTGTCAAGCGCCAGGGTCTTTTGAGGAACATCAGGTGCACTGATTGGCTCCATGCCTGACATACTTTGGGCTAAAGTCAACCCAACATGAGACACGGGAGAAGATAGGCCTGATTATCCGAGGGCATCATGTCTATAGTTGGATACTGAGAATCCGGCTGCCTAAAATGATCTGTTGCCACTTGCTTGAACTATTTCTGGCTGTGCGTTGCCTACTTGGTTACGTGCATATAGCCTTAACTATGTATGATTGAATGGACCTCCATCGGATGCGCTAACTACGTTTGGATCATGCTTCAAGTCCACTGTTTCACTGTTGTTGGCCTGAGAAGTTCTACTTCTTGGAAGGCCTACTTCGACATTTTCTATAGAGTGGATCTGTACATTCTCGTCCAGAGAAGAGCAGTACTGTGGGAGACCAGCATGACAGACCGCAATTTCCGACCTCAGTCATCAATCCATACCTAAATCAGCCTGGTACCTGGCTTTCCCGCTTAGTTGGGTTAACTTCTAGAGACACAGGTGCGTAGAGCGTTGGACATCTATCCTTGTTGTTAAGAATGATGTGACATGGTATTTGATATCGACATGTAAGAGACACACATGCATATACTTCTAGTAATGACAATATACAGGTTTAGCTTAACAGGGCATACCAAGGTCCAAGTATCGACGCTTGCCGCTCTTCTTCTGGTAGGTTCCCATTCGCCATCACATCACACACTGTGCTAATTGACCAGCTGGTCCTACAAAATGCAGCCTCAATCATCGTACGTCCTCAAGTCCTCCTCTCGGAGCTATTGCTGAGATGATGGCCATAGCTACAACACAAAATCCAGTCCCAGTCCACAATCGAAGACAAGCACTTCGATCCACTGACAGGCATCCTCCTCTCCGAACTCCTCAAACTGACCATCTCCCTCCTCTGCATCGCCCAAACAGCAGAAGAGCCCAAATCCCTCCTCACCACCCTCAAAACAAACCACGATGAAGCAACCCTCCCAGCCCTCCTCTACACCGCCGCATCCCTCGCACAAAGCATCGGCGCCTCCTCCCTTGACCTCCTCCCGTACCTCGCCCTCTCTCAAACCAAACTCATCCTCACCCCCCTCCTCGCAACCCTCCTCCTCAACCAAAGACTCACCCTCCAGCACTGGACTTCCACCCTCACAATGACAGCGGGGATCATCCTCGCCCAGACAGGCGCCAACGCCTCAGCAGAGAACCAGCACCACCGCACCACAGCCAACTCCAACGTCCACCCGCATCCCCTCCCAGGCATCCTCGCCATGCTTCTATCCGGTTCATGCGTCGCACTGGGAAGCCTCTCCATCGAACGATCGCTCAAGCGCGCCGCAAACAGCACCACAACCACAACCGCGAACGCGTTCTTCATCCGCAACGCACAACTAGCCGCGCACAGTCTCCTCTTCGCACTGCTCTCGTTCCTCTGGAAGGAAAAGTGCAGAATAGATGGATCAAGCTTCTTCGAAGGCTTTAATAGCCTGGTCTGGGTGTTTGTGGTTCTGCAGGCGTCCGGTGGGTTCCTGGTGGCGTGGTGTGTGAGGGTTACGAGTTCTGTGACGAAGAATTATGCGCAGGGGATGGGGTTTGCGATTGCGGTTGTGGGGCCGTTGGCTGTAGAGTCTAAGGATGTTGATGGGAAGGTGAGTGATTGCTTCAGAGCAGGGGTTTCAGAGAGGGCATAGCTGATGCGGATGTTGGTAGCTTCTTGTCGGGGTTGTGCTTGTGCTGGGTGCGGTGGTTGGGTCGGCCTTCGCAGGGCAGAGTATGAGGGTAACGAACGTGACGGAGATGAGGGAAGTCAAAGGTGTGGTGTAGTTGATTAATGATAGGATATGTATGATGAGGTTATCGATTGTCTCTATATAGATATATAACTAATAGTTCGGACTGATAAACTGACGGCATCACATCATAATTCATTAAATCCTGAATTAGAGTGAGAAAATGTCATTCTTCACTGTCAACATGGGTGTAATCTCATATATACAACGAATACACCACCCAGTCAAATCATATCTGCAAAGTCCCAGTGAGCTGAATGTCTCGCACACTCTTACCCACATAGATGGGATAGCTTCCCGACTGCAACCCCCACGTCTGCTTCTCGACATCCCAGGTGCTCAGATCCCGGCGGGTCAGGTCAAAGGTAAAGTGCTTCTTCTTGTGCGGCTTGATGGACTGCTTGTTGAACCCTCGGAGCTGCTTGGCTGGGGCGCCAGGAATACCAACATACAGCTGGGCGACCTCGGCCGCCTCCACCGCGCCAGTATTGGCCACGGTGCAGTTGACAGTTGCCACGACGTCCCAGAGAGAGGGGAGACCGCCCTCTACGATGGCGGAGCCGGGGGGCAAATAGTCGGTGTTCGCGCCGGGGACGAGCTCAACTTCCAGCGCGGAGTAGGAGAAGTTGGTGTACGTGAGACCGAAGCCAAACTCGTACCGAGGGGTGATATTGTTCGCCTCGAACGCGCGGTAGTCGATGTACACGCCCTCGGTGAAGTTGTCCTGCGGGTACCAGAGGTCGCGATCGCCCTCGGGAATGACGGGATGGAGCACGTTGCCGTAGTCGGAGGCGTTCTTGGCCACGGTGTAGGGAAGACGGCCGGAGGGGGACTGCTTGCCGTACATGATCTCGACCAGAGCGCCGCCGGTATCCTGGCCGGGGAGGTGAGCGTAGATGACGGCAGTGATGTTGTCGTTTTCAATCCAGCGGTCCACAAGGCGGACGCCTGCGTTGTGAATGACGACCATGGTGTTGCTGCATTGCGAGGCGACGCTTTCAACTAGCACGTCGGAATATGGGTCTGCCAGGTACGGGCGGTCCCAGCCTTCAGAGGCCTGCTCGTTGACGAAGACGATGCAGGCCTCGCTGGCCGGGTTGACGATGGGCTTCTGCGAGGCAAAGTCCCAGGCAAGGAAGGTGCCATCTTCGCGGGCCTGGCGCTGGAAGGCGTCATACGGAGCGTCGATGTAGGAGGGCGTGGCGGCTCCGGAACCGCCGCCGGTGAACAGGGTGCCATTCAGGGCGACGCCGGGTCCCTCGGCTGTGGGATCATAGCTTGAGAGGAACATTTCCATTTGAATTTTAGTATCGATGGCGCTGCCGTTGGGATAGGTCAGTGTATTGGACAGTCCAAAGACCCAGCGGCCAAAGGTGACGTTGTCCATGGTGTTTCCGGCGGCAGCAATACCATCGTAGCCGAAGAGAGAGAGGAACTTGGGCTTGTCGAGTGGCAGAGCATTGTTGGTGTTCTTCACCAGGACGTGACCCTCCACAGCACTCTGAAAGATGGTGGACCGCGACTTGGGATCGCGAGCGTCGGTTAACTCGTGAGGTTTTCGCAGATCGACAGGCATTCCGTGTCCTGGCTGCTCGATCTCTGCATACTTGTACCAAGAAGCCAGGATCCGCGTCGCCATATCATCCAGACGAGTCTGAGCCAACGAGCCGTTTCGGACGGCCAAAGCGAGGGTTCCATTCTCCCAGTAGACGGAGTCAGGCATTGCCATGTCCAGACCCGCGTCGGCAGCGGCGACCCCTGAGTGTTGAGCATCCCAGTCCGTGACGACGAAGCCCTGGAAGCCGAGCTCACCCTTGAGCAGGCCATTGAGTGCCTTGCTGTTCTGGCACCCGTAGCTGTTGTTGATCCGGTTGTAGCTGCACATGACGGATCCCGCACCGGCCTTGATCGCGTCCTGGAAGGGCCACAGGTAGAGCTCATGCATGGTCTTGTCGTCCAGGTTCGAAGAGATGGATTGGTTGTAGGAGCCCTCCAAAAGCATCGGAGGGTTACGGTTGGTCTCTTGCTCATTGCCGATAAAGTGCTTGACACAGGCAATGACTGACTCCTGTAGACCACGGATAGTCTCTCCGGTCAGGGAACCGGCCAAGTACGGGTCGTTGGAGAAGCCTTCCCAGTTACGGCCGCCACGCGCTGTCCGGCCAAGAGGTCCGACAACGGGGCCCAGAGCGACGTTGACACCCTTGCGCTTGAATTCCGCACCCATGTAGTGCGCACGTTTGTAGGCAAGATCGCGGTTCCATGCAGCTCCTACATGGACACCAGAGGCGTATCCATTCACCATGTCAGTACCGCGGACACCATTTCCGGCATCCTGCAGGCACAGTCCAGGAAACCCAACGCCAGGAGCACCTCCCGAGTTTCCGGAACAGCCATTGGTGGTTGACTTGTACCCGTAAGTGAGGTTGTTCTTCTGCTCGTCAGTCATTTGAGCTACGAGAGCCTTGGCCTTGGCATATGCCTCCTTCCAGTCACCCAAGCCCTGGGTTTCAGCTGTTGAGCAACGTACTGTTAGTCATATAGGACATCACGACTCTCAGTCAGACTTACGGCTGGGATAGACGGGCTCTGAGCGGCCATACGACCAGAACTTTTCGAGATTGGCGGCGATGGCAGCATCTTCCTGCGCGGTAGCAATGCCTGCCAGCTGCAGGGCAGCAGCAAGAAGAGGGACTGTGATTTTCATCTTCAGTTCCGAGGAGACAAGGGTAGAAGAGTCGATAGGTGTGATCTTCAGCTCAAGAATCTAGGGGATACACGACCTTGATATAGCTGCGATTCAAGCTCGGGGTTAGGCTATGTCGGCTATCGTAGCATGATAACTTCGGATCGTAGCATTTCTCCATGCTGCTCATCTCAATCTTTCCTCTACCGGGCAAAGACCGAGACTGAACCAGCGACCCCATATGGAGTACCCCGATGTGCCGAGTTATTATCACTTCAGGTTTCATTCTGGTCGTATTCCTCCACGACGGAGTCTAGACAGTGATTTGGCCAATGACGAAGCAAAGAAGATAGTTTGATTAGCCCATTGTCCTTCATCTCCGTACTCCTTCGTCAATAGCCCAAGCCACATGGCACAGTTGACTATGCGGGGTCTCCACATCCCCAGCAAAAGCGGGGCTCCACGTTCTTGGCGGGCCTGCTGTATGGTTGTATTGGGTCTATTGGCTGCTGCAGAACCCATACTCTGCCCATGCTTCGGCTGAACTCCGGCTTTTCACTCAGTAACTATGCATGGTCCATCCTTCTTATGGTAGTCGCCAAGAACACAGTCTCAGTTTAGTCCGGGTTCTTCAAGCGCTTAAGCCTCAACCATGGATCACTGTCTGTATGTCATAGGATCATAGTGTCTGTTGACTTGCTCCTAGACTTGGCCGTTAGTGCCGCTGTTCGGCTCCTTCCCGTGTCATGAGTCGGTCGTCCTTGACAGAATGACAAAGCTCTTATAAATATCGGCACTCATTTGGCGCGAACCTACGCTAGTGCTTCTTGCAGGTTGGACATGTTGTGGTTATGTGGGGAAGGGTTAGATACCGGCGACTTTTGCACTGACCCAGTACGTATGTGGGGTCGGTGCGGTGTGCAGAGTGCAGGCAAGTCCTTTTCCTCCACCTGCAGCCGATCCTAATCTGTTTCCCCGACGAGTTCCTCACTGTGCCGTGATCTCGGTATCATCCGCCTAGTAAAATATCTCCGTCGACATCCTTGCAGCAGCATTTCAGCTGGGCTTCCCTCTTGACCTCGCTCAATGAGCCGGCTTTCGGAATAAACTCACCGAACAGGGCCATATGGTAACTCGCAACTCCTCCCAACTTGCATAGTAGTTCGATAATCGCCGAGTGTACGCTTGATGAGGTCCATCCCGCTCGACTTCCCCGCACATCGGATGACCTTGCTAACCACGTCTTCCTCTAGCCGTCATCGTCTAGCGTTGCCAGACCGAGTAGTGGTCAATTTGGAGGTCCCAAGACATGCATTATTCATGCAAGTGTCCCCCACAACCCCAGCTAAACTAGGGTTTCCCCGGAGAATAACCGACGCCACCACATCCGTATGTAGTAGACACCATGCTAGAATCTTCCGGGATACATACGCTAGCATCTCCGGGTACCTATATCGGTAGTTGGGCGCTTCGAGGTTGAAGTTCAAGATTCTGTCCTTGCTTCTCGTATTCTGTGCCGACGATTCTGGGCGCCACGCGGGATGCGAGCGGGACGGAGGAAAGTGAGCGTGGGAATAGCTGCCAATGTCCTAGTCCCGGCCACAATGTTCGGATCCCAGAATGCTCGGCCTATTTTCCCTCGTTCGTGTCTTTTTTACAAACCCATTACAAATCGATGGCTATGCCGAGGAAAGGCGTGGGATGATGTATGAGCTGACTGGTGCACAGACAGAGACTGTGTCCGTCATGTCGACGCCTAATGGCTTTCCGATGTACACTGTCCGCTTTATGGATGCCGGTGTGGAGGTCTGAGCTAAAATCTTGCAAGTCTGGCAACTGCGACTCGAGACATGGTCGGAGCCTTCTCGTCCGGCCGGCGCTGGATTCGGTGAGATCGAGCCAATTCCCGGCTTCACGGCATGTATGTGCCTCCTGTGATCTTGGCATCCAATGACGGTTCATCTTGTCGTCCGACCCTCGGCTTCAATCCAGCTTTCAGAGGATTGCATGTATCGTTCACCATACTTGTGGTTACGACGGCAATGCTGGACCGGGAATTCCTCGTAATGCATTGCCGCGCACCATGATGAATTCAGGACTCGGATTATTTTTCTCATACCTTGGCCATCCTTGCACTGCCTTGTCCTAGTCGTTCATCATGCTGAACATCGGTATACGAGCTATTCTTGTTACTTTTTTGACTTCGGCCCTTTGTAAGCAGCACGTAGATGCGCGGATAGTCAGTCTGCATAGGAGGGAAGGTTGACAATTGAACAGTCACATCCTTCAGTGAACAATTTCTGCAGGTTTAGTCAATAGCTTCGCAAATATCAAATGACATTAACTGGTAGAACTTGACTCAATTTTGGAACCATTTGTTGGAAGTTCCCGGCAGTGATCAGCAAATCGTAGACTTATATATCCCTCAAACCAGCCAAAGCATACAATCTCATTCAACAGACATTACACCAGCGCTGTCGGTATTCGACAGTCATTTCCCCATCATTGACTTGACCAAATCCAAATAGAATGATAATGTATTATTTGCTCAGTCATTCACCAAAGTAGGTTTCGTTCGGTAGCCTTAGTTGTCCTCCTCGAAATTTCCCGGTAACCCAATTGCAAAGAACACCGTCGTCATACACCAACGAGAGACTATCTCCCGGAAAAAATTGCATCGGACCGGAAGAAGTCTTCGAGAGTTTTGTCTGGTTCTTTTGAGGCTAATGTAAAGGGGTTGTCCTCTTGCATAGGGACTCGATGGTATGGCGTATCAGCCACAATATACCCAGGAACCATCTTATGAGTGCAACGCCTTGGTCCAGACAACAGTATTTAAAGCGAGACTTCGCTGAGACGGTCGAAAGCATTTTGACACTGAAAGATCAGGAACTTCTCCGTCATGGTTGGTCTTCCGGTATTGAGGTTGGACCGACGAGGCTCAAGCGATCACATCAGCCTCGCACTTGCCTAAAGACAAGCAGTCAGCAGATCTCAGATCTCTCACAGTCTTGATCCTAGCTACTGGGGAATCCTGCAGTGAAGGATCTAAAGCGATGTGAGACATCACATCTTATGATTGTTATGCTCTGGTCAACCGTGAATCGCTTCCACCACAGCACTCCAGCTATGTCCACTTGATATTATCTCCTACAGAAAACAAACGCATTCCTCATCTGTCCACAACATAGGAAACTACAATAAGCATGTCCATTTTCAGCCCCCCAAAGCACCAGAAGCTCATCCCCTTCAACATCCCCGCCGTTACCAGCCCTGAAATGGAGTTCATCAACACTGCCATCAAACGGCACCCTCACCAACGGGCGCTACACCCGTCAGTGCCAATTATGGCTAGAGCAACGGCTCTCCCGCAGAAATGTCCTCCTAACACCCTCCTGCACCGCTGCCCTCGACCTCGTCGCACTCATCCTGGAAAACCAACCCCGGCGACGAGGTCATCCTCCCGAGCTACACGCACCCATCGACCGCAAACGCGTTCCTCCTCAGCGGTGCCTCATTAGTATTTGTGGATATCGTCCCGGAGACCATGACTATCAGCCCGACGCAAGTCCGCGAGGCGATAACCGACCGCACGCGCGTCGTGGTCCCAGTCTGCTACGCCGGTTTCGCTTGCGGCATGGACGAAATTCCAGAAATCGGGCGCGCACGGGATATATACGTCGTCGAGGACGCGGCGCTAGGACTCTTCTCTACATACAGAGACAGGGCGGTAGGCACGATGGGACAGCTGGGGTGCATCAGTTTCCAGGAGGAGGAGAATACGGCTGGCAGCTTGTGGGGGGGGAGTTACGCGATCAGCGAACTGCAGGCTGCGTATCTATGGGCCCAGCTGGAGGGCGCGGAGACGATTCAGTTCCAGCGCCATCGGATCTGGAATCTGTATTGGAAGGAGTTGGAGGGGTTGGAGACGCATGGGATTATCGAGTTGCCGGCTTTGCCGTTGGGTCAGGAACATAATGCTCGGATATTCTGGATAAAGGTCCGGGATATGGCGGAACGGAGGGAGTCATGGGATCAATGAAGGGTGTTGGGATTAGTGTGCTGCCTCACTATGGTCCTCTCCATAAGATAGGACCTGATATGAATTACCGGCATTTTATGGATGAAGATGTGGTCACTAGGGATAGTAAGCGCCTTGTTCGCCTGCCGATATACTACGCCATGCCTTTGGATGATGCTGGGTTTGTCATTGATCAAATCAGGCAGTTTTACTCTGCTGGAAAGATAGTCTCGACAGGTATATAAACGTTGATATCAAGCCATTTGACATTCAGGGTTTCACTTTTCTGCCACAGTTCTGAGTGAAGAAGTAGATATCCATAATCGTTATGACACGGGCACTCAGTCATTCCCGAGGTTAGAATTATGGGACAGAGGACGACAGACACATGAGGCAACAATCACGCCTCAGACCAAAAGAGCGTCCAATCACCCCTGAATAATTCCAGGCTAATCCAGCACAAGCGAAAACGCCAAGCAGCCAGGTCACCACAGCTTCAGTTTCTTTTTCGACGTTCCCGCCTCTGTATTACCTGCCCATGCCTCCCAGCTGAACTCTTCCTCGTCTTCAATCTCATTGAGTACATCCATACTCCAGATATGCGCCCGGCACGATCGGCAAGCATACATATTGTCTTTCTCCTCGAAGATAATTCGCAAGTTGTCGAGTTCGTCCTCGAAGGCGTCAGCTGCTTCTGTTTCCCCGTTCGTTTGAATGCAACATGGACACAACGGAGTACAGTGGCCGCGGCTCAGCAGCTGGCCCGTGTCGCCGCGGCTTCTCGCAACAACCACGGCTCCTCCCGCAGCAGCCTCCACGGCTGGCACATTCACGCCGGAGCCAGTCGCATGAGTACCAATCCGGATTTGATCTCCACGCCAAAAAAGGCCGGATGCACCCTGTAGCTGCCACCTCACGCGGTACAGTCCGTGGTAATCATTGTTTGCATTCTCAAAGAAATCCTCTATCTCATTACGACCGATTCAATCTCTGCACGGTCCTCAGACGAGGTACACAGCTGGAGCTCTTTCCTTTTGGAGCGCAGGACTCCCTCCAGAAAGATTGATGCCTGAACGAAAAAGTAATGTCAGGTACAATCATTTCAGCGCACCAGCCCATGACATTGTTTCTGTGCTCTTTCTGGTGATATAGAAAATACCATCGGAGACGAGTCACGTCAGACTGTCCAGCACGATGAAGCTGGCATCCTATCTTCTCAGTGCCATCGGGGTGCTGGAAGAGACGATCCGGCAGACCCTTCTGAGTTGCTACCTTGAATAGGATTCTGGCTTTCTCGACGAATTCAAGATTGGACAGTAGGAAAGGGAGGTAATCCTGGGAGCACTTGGCTTTCTGCAGATTCTTCTCCCATTTCTCTACCGCGATGGTGAGGGGATCCGTCGCTGACTCTCGCCTGCGCCACATGCAAAGGCTAGTGAGCACCATTGTATCAGTTTGATCACTCGGGTAGATGCTTGATTCACTTGAATCGCAGGAGGAAATCCTTCGTGACTGTTTTGTAGTTCATTTTATAGAGTCCCGTCATAGACTTGACGATCATGATTCATACCATGGATCTCTAAAGTCTCACTCTATACAAATCAGCTACCCTCTATCCATCAGATACAAAAGGTAGTCGTGCAGTATATCCAATAAGAGATGCAATAGGTGTCATCTTAGAAGCCATCATGGTGGTCCTTTGATAGCCCGTCTGTACAGCAACATCAGCTTTGCAACTGACGCGACTTTGACGATAGATTATGTCTGCTCCATTGTTGCATCAGGTCATGGATGAAACTTCAGATGGACAGGTCCGGAAAATCACGTGTTCTGAAGAGTCAGCCTTCTTGGCAGCATCCGGCAATGCCGAAATAAGACACTCACATGTTCTGTCAGAGAACAACCACGCGGAGGAATTTTGAGATTTGATACATGGGCCAAGAACACAATCTCTTGTCTCTTCCCATTAGTTTAGTTCCCCTTGTCTAAGTCTTTATTAGATCTTGCCAGGAACAGGAAGGAGACGAATTCTAATGCTGATGCCTACCGTGGGATCAGAGTCTGGCCGGTGGTCTCCGGCTGTTCCTGCAGTTTGCCACTGCCTCAGCCCCTCTGCTTACGTGGCCCATTTTACTTGCTTCTGGAATTTGTGCCATGTGATTGGCTGCATAGCTCTGTCAATCTTCGATTGTGTCTTCATTAGTCGAAGCTTGGCCTGATTGGGACCATTCGCATTCTTCACATTCCGGACCAGGTGAAACAGTTCCCCTCCTCGCAGTCCTCGGACCAGACAACGTCATGGTTCGTACCGGGGATCGAGGCACATGTCAGCGGTTGCACTGGAAAATGAGCAAATCATTCACCATCGGTGGTGCAAGAAGCGTCACAGGCCATTCCGCTTCTAAAAATGGAATGGATTCAGTACCTGGTACCTGAGGCAGTCAGGCACAAGTGCCAGGATGGGCCCTGGCATTTATACGGCGCCCGCTCGCCGGGTTCCTGAGGCCCTCAGCAAAAGCGTACCTTAGCAATTTAGAACTCAGTAGTGCCATCAATTTGACACCTCTAGTTGTTGTTTCATCTCCACATTTCATCAAACTATCAATAATACTATCTTTTATTATCTATATCTCAATCACTCGTCAAACAGTGTCCAGGCTATTACTTCATACTCAGTATGGGATTCTCTCGTTCCTCACGCTCGTCCAGCGACCGCAACGGATCCATTAGCTCGCGCGAGAGCTACAAGAAGGCTACACTGTCTAGCAAAGCTGATCCCAACCAGGCCTTGACTGAAGCTCAACCAAGTTCGTTACCTTGTATCTGCTTGTGTCATATGTATACTAACGCTTCGGAAAAGTCAATCAAGCGGTATCCGGAACTCCAATGTTCTCCCTGCGATCGATGCAGCACCGCGACAAAGATGGAAACATCATCAGTTCGTCTTTCCTGGGTTCATCGCATGTGAATCATCAATGCTAACGAGATACAGCTGATCCCGACCGGTCCAATCCCACACGGCCCCGTCTCGAGCGACCGCTAGACACCATCCGATCGTTCGAGGCCGCCATCGAGGCCCGCCGTCGAGAAATGTGAATTATGTGATATATTGGGATTGGCATTGGGACTGGATATATGACGGTGCCTCTGGTGTTTTAGGATTGGTATATTGCGATATGAATTATGCAGGACGGACACGTGCGATGAATTGTTTCTAGCGAGATTGTACATTACAAGACTTGGACTCTACAGCTTGTCCATATCATGAAATCAACAGTGACACTCGATTCAACCACAGGACATCAATTATGTTCCTCATTCAGACACGCATGATACAGCATGTAACAACTGTGTATCCGATGCAAGGCCACTATTCCCAAAGCTACCAGGAAATAAGAGTAGTTAATGTCGATCAAGCCTGCTTTGGACTAGAACGTTGAATCGAAATAGGCTACCATCAATCGGTTGCAAATCCACAAAGCTTGAGCCCGACGGCGTATGTCTGACCCAATTTAATATTAATGAGGACTTCTCGTTTGCAGAGAGTGTGTCGTAGTGTGCTCCACCGTAAGACCGAGGGTGGATGATTCTTGTTCGGGGATAAAGCCGCCCACGAATTTGGCCTTTGCACACTCACCACGAACCATCTCGACTTTCGATACAGAATCAACGCTTGCTCAAATTCGCTCGAATAATAGGCAAGATGATGGAAGACAATTCAGAGTGCGTAAATCTGGATTCATTATGATGTCCCTACTCTTGAATCGTGCATCCGCTAATGGTAGTGGCCACAGTTATACCAGTCCATCATGACCCGCCACCATCACAATAGCGGCATCATCTCGGTCAACTCTAATTTCTAGCTCGGATTTACGAACCAATACTGGACAATGGATGGAGCCGGACTGTGGTGTGGTCGCTTTTCATTTTGCCGGCGCCTCGCTTGACGACCGGACCAGCAGTGGCTTACTGCAGTGTTGACGCGTTCATTGCCCAAAGCGGGGCCGTTGATGGCATCGCAGAAGGAGAAAGTAGTCGGCCGACTTGACGGAGGTGAAGAGTACGCCCCCTTTGTGAGGAGGGCTGCTAATAATAATACACCTATCGAGGGATAGCTCACGATGGGTGTGTTGATGGAATTCTCCCCGTCGTTGTTATAGCTTTCTGTTTCCCAGGTTGGTCGACCTATTGGACATATCCCGTGTTTGTTCATTCGTTTCCTTTCCTACTGCAGTTTCTTGTCATTCGTTACTCAGTTTTTGATTCCTTGATATCTACAATTGTTACATTTCATTCGGGAGGAGAGGTTTCGACACCATGAAGTTCTCCCACGCTCTCCTTGGGGCTGGCCTCTTGGGCACTGTTCTTGCTGACATTGACCCTATCATCATCAAGGTTTTTCTCTCCCATTCTCTTGAGGAATAAGTCTAACCGTCTGAAGGGATCCAAGTTCTTCTACTCCAGCAACAACACTCAATTGTAAGGACTCTCCGTCTATTTTGTGGACTCGTGCTAAACCTTTCAGCTACATTCGTGGTATTGCCTACCAACGTACGTGATTGTCATCTAGATGCCTCACATGGAACTAACTTCAACAGAGGACTACTCGAGCAATGGTACCACTGATGGCAGCAGCACTTATATCGACCCCTTGTCGGACGCCACGCTGTGCAAGCGTGACATTCCCATCTTCCAGGAGCTAAACACCAACACCATCCGTGTTTACGCCATCGATCCCACCGCCAACCACACAGAGTGTATGCAGATGCTGGCCGATGCCGGCATTTATGTCATCTCCGATCTCTCTGACCCATCCCAGTCAATTGACCGCAGTGATCCCTCCTGGGAGACAACCCTCTACAACCGCTACACTAGCGTGATTGACGCTCTGGCACCGTACAACAACACTCTCGGCTTCTTTGCGGGCAATGAGGTTTCCAACACCGTCGGTACCACCGATGCAAGTGCCTTCGTCAAGGCGGCGGTGCGGGACATGAAGGCGTACATTAAGGAGAAGGGATACCGCTCGATGGGAGTCGGCTACGCGACCAACGACGACTCCACCATCCGCGTCAACATGGCTGACTACTTCAACTGCGAGGAGAGTGACGAGTCTATCGACTTCTGGGGATACAACATCTACTCCTGGTGCGGCGATTCGTCCTATACTGAGTCCGGGTACAGCGTCCGCACAGAAGAGTTCAGGAACTACTCCGTGCCTGTCTTCTTCGCCGAGTATGGTTGCAACGAGGTCACTCCCCGCAAGTTCACCGAAATCGAGGCCTTGTTTGGAGACAAGATGAACGATGTCTGGTCGGGTGGTATCGTATACATGTATTTCCAGGAGGACAACAACTACGGTAAGCTCCTTGATCCAGTCATTGGCCGCGACTGATCCATATAGGCCTTGTCTCCGCCGTCGACAGCACCAGCGTCAGCACCATGGCCGACTTCAAGTACTACTCCAGCCAGATCAACAACAACGCCAACCCATCCGGCACCAACAAGGCCTCCTACACCCCCACCAACACGGCCCTGCAAAGCTGCCCGACCGTCAACAGCAAGTGGCTCGCCAGCGCCAGCCCCCTGCCCCCGACCCCCAACGAGCAGCTCTGCACCTGCATGAGCAACGCCGCCTCTTGTGTCGTCAAGGACTCCGTCAGCAGCGACGACTACAGCGACCTTTTCAGTCTTATCTGCGGCTACACCGACTGCACCGGCATCGCTCGCAACGCCACCACAGGCAGCTACGGCGCCTACGGCATGTGCACCCCCAAGCAGCAGCTCAACTTCCTGCTCAACAAGTACTACTCCGAGCAGAGCTCTGCTTCCTCCGCCTGCAGCTTCGGCGGCTCGGCCACTGTCACCTCCGCTACCAAGGCGACCGGTGCCTGCAGCTCCCTCATGAAGGAGGCCGGCGCCGCGGGCACTGGCACCGTCACCTCCAAGCCCACCGGCACTGCTGACTCGTCCGGCTCGTCTGCTTCTTCGACTAGCTCGTCTGGTGCGGCTGTTGCTCTTACGCGCGGCTCTGCGGTGACTGTTGGCTCGTTCGAGTTGGGTATGTACGCCATCACTGCGCTTCTGACTGCAGTCGGCATGGTCATGCTTTAGCGGTAACTGTCTGCAGGATATAGAACAGGTTTGCCTGAATAGCCGTTCTCATTAGGTGTCCTTATTTAAGAGATTGTACTTTTTGTCGCTCCTTTTAGTGTCTTCGACATGTTCAATTCTTTTCATCGTACTCCAGCTGGAGTCCATATGCTCTTTCATACGTCTATTGAACTTCACCAATCGTGGTAGTACACATCTTTCGGAGAGAACAAAAGTGACAGAAAGTATCCGAGTAAAACCACGCCTTGACAGGTCCTGCGACACAAAGGGCGTCTAGCTTTTATGAACACAATTTCAGAGGTGGTATTGAGACATAATATATATTTCATTAAACCTTTGATTCTGCTCATTGTATATCTATATATTTTGGCTGTTGCCGTCTGTCAATAGCCGGACATTGTCAAAGATCTTCCCTCTGACGATAATGTTGGTATTACCGCTATATATAGAGATCCCTGAGTCTGTCAATCGACAATTCTCCGTACCGCAAATCCGATTCCTCAACGACAAAGAATACAGCCTCAAATAGCCCTATCATGTGAACACATCTTCAACGTGGACAACCCAATCATATGTTTTGCTATACGAGAAGGATCAACATCTGGTCTTGGACCGGTCACGTGGTGCCAAGTTGGGATACGAGCCCCCCCTCTCTGCTTGATTTCTTCTCCTGAGAGCCTCTGTGCGAGGTTGATAAGGGAGGAACATGCGTTTTTGAAAAAGCGAAATTGGCAGATGATCGAGATATGGATCCGTTATCAATCGCGGGCAGCTCGACTGCCCTGAAAGCATCCTGCCACGAGGTATCTATATCCAGCTGCATCTTCATGACTACACACTAATACGCGCTAGATCATCTCATTCACGTCAGGAATTCTGCGTGATAACGTCCCTGATGGGGACATGACAATCTCAAACACAGGCCATGACCTGAATCGTGTCTGTCTCGTCCTGGACGAGATCATCCCCACATGGAGGGCCCATTCCTCCATCCTGATGACGCATCCGTCTGCCAGTTTCGGGATGTGGACGTGCGTGCAGTCTAACTTGGAAAACATCCGAGTCACGCTGCAGCGGCTAAGGCAAGAGCTGGAACCTATTGTCAAGAGCGGGCAGAAGAAGCGCTCGCTGTTCAAAGTCTACGCCAAGGCGTGGAAATTGGGCTTGCATAGTTGCGCGATTATTGCGTATCGTGGACGTTTGGAACCACACCGCAAGGCTTTGAAGGTTGGAGCCACTATGATGAACATGTAGGTCTCGTTTACACGGCAATGGGGTTGAATATGGTTGTGTTGGGTGCTGATTTCATCTGAGGTGTGTGCGGCTGCAACAAAATGCACCCGCCCAAGAGAAGCAATCGTCGCTTGTTGTCTTGGACATTGAGATCAAGGATCTCGAGGCGGCAGTACAGCCTATGAAGAAGCTGTCTTTCGTGTCTAGCGCGGAGACAGCTGAAAGACAGGATATGATTGTCGCCATGGAAAGCCTAATCAGTTCCGCAAAGTCATTTTATACGTTTGTGTCTATGGCACCATCAGCACCTGCCGTGAATCAGGAAGAAGATGGTCATGACTCCGTACCCCCTCCGTCGTACGCACAGGCCATGGCATCTGAAGATGGGGCTGAGTCCGAAGACGACGGCCCCTGGCCATCCCCGTTCAATGTGGCGGCCCGAGAGGGGGATTTGGAAGAAATTAAAAGGCTGGTCGCGGCTGGTGAGGACATTCTTGCCACCGGTGAGATTGGCCAGTCGCCTGCATACTCGGCTGCTGTCTCAGGAAACACTGAGATCCTAGAGTATCTGATCGAACACGGTGCAGACTACACCTCTGGCAACGAGGACGGCTTCACACCGCTCAACGCAGCCGCCACATTTGGCCATCCTGATGCGGTGCTTGCTCTCTTGCACCACGGAGCAGATCCGAATGTCCCATCTGTGGACGGACAGAGCCCAATCTACTCCGCCGCGAAGCTCGGTCAACTAAGCTCCGTAAAGGTGCTTGTCGAACATGGAGTGAACATCTCAGACACAACGCATCCAAAGCAGTGGACCCCGCTGAACGTGGCGGCTCATAGTGGGCATCACCATATTGCAAAGTACTTGCTCGACCAGGGGGCGGACTTTAACATACCTACTACGAGTGGATGGACACCACTGGCATCAGCCGCCTCTGAAGGCCACGCAGAAATTGTCGAGACTCTCATCAAGCGCGGCGCCGATGTCAACACTAGCATTGGTGAAATCGGCGCCACGGCGTTGTATTATGCCGCAAAGGATGGCCACACTGATGTGGTCCGCATTCTTCTGGACCACGGCGCGGACACCTCCCGAGCATCGGCGAATAAATGGACCCCCCTCAATGCGGCGGCATCGGAGGGCCATCTAGCGGTTGTCGAGCTGCTCCTTGCAAAAGGCGCAGATGTCACAATCCCCGATTCAACGGGCTGGGCGCCGTTGAACAGCGCTGCGGGCGAAGGGCACTTTGAGATTGCAGTTGCGCTGGTCAAGCACGGGGCAGATCACGCCGTCGCGGACTCTCGGGGCCACACCCCACTCTATTCAGCGGCACTGCACGGCCATCATGCCGTTGTTGACCTCCTCCTCGAAGCCGGCGCAGGTATTAACGTGATGAACAAGGATAAATGGACGCCCTTGCATGCTGCGTCCGCGAGGGGACATCTTCAAGTAGTTCAATCTCTTCTCGCCTGTGGGGCTAATTCCGCAACCCGGAACACGGGTGGTTGGAGTCCTCTCAATTCAGCGGCCTGTAATGGCCATCTGGAGGTAGTTAGATTGCTGCTAAGACACGGCGCGGCTGTCGATAGCCGCAATGATGATGGCTGGAGTCCGCTAACCGCCGCTGCTGGAAATGGGCACACGGCCGTGGTCGAGGCCCTGCTGGATAGAAAGACGGATATCGAGACACGCAATGATGGCGGATGGACTTCCCTTGGAATTGCAGCGCGAGAGGGCTATCCGGAGACGCTAAAGGCTCTTCTAGCACGCGGTGCAGACAAGAACGCCACGAACATCAACGGCTCGACTGCTTTGCACGGCGCAGTGGAAAAAGACCAACTCGAAGTGGTTAAGCTTCTCCTTGCACAGGGTCTGGACATCTCTGCCAAGTCGAAAACTGGATGGACACCGCTGAATATCGCTGCGAGCAATGGCCGGGCGACGATCGCCCAGTTCCTGCTTGCCTCCGGGGCTGATCCAAACACACCGCAGGATGACGGATGGACTCCGCTGCATGTTGCCACGAATGAGAACCATATTGAAGTTGTGCGAGACTTGCTGAGGGCAGGAGCAGATCATCGAGTGAAGAACCAGAATGGCAGAACCGCTCTTGATCTTGCACGTTCGAAGGGGTATAGGGATATAGAAGAACTCCTGTTGGGTGCTGGAGTCAAACGTCTTGGCTTCTGATGATAAGGGTTGTTTCGTTGTTTCGGTATATTCCACTTTCTATAAGATATGAATGATTACTGGTACGTGAAGGACATATCGGTAGACATACTGAACTAGACTGGTCGTGGATTGGGTATGGGTTGATCCACCAGCAGTGTAACATCCATGCGGGTTGGATTGCGGACATGGATATATCCATATCCATGCGGACCGGGTGTGGTCAACCTATTTACTGATATTTAAACTACCTTACCTTAATCTCCTCTCTAGAGTAGGAATGGGAAGCCTAGCTACTACTAATAAGGAGGTAGAAATAATTCCTATTCAAGGACTAGAAAAGATAGGTTATCTTGGGCTCGCCTGGACTCGACCGAATGCAACTCTGAATACTATCAATTTATCGATATCTGCGAAGCAATACTCATATTCAGGTCTAGCCTCAAGTAGTCATAAATTTCCTATATAACTTCCTTTCCTTAACGACTCAGACATACACAAGATACTTTGTAGTAACCAGCACCTGCTCTTAGATGACTTAGCTTTCATTCATAGGAGTAGACGCCGTCACACTTAATCAAGTGTCGCATAGCTGATTACAGCCACAACCTGTAGGTCCGATAACTTGACTCCAACCGTCACACCTTCCTCCAGTACCTCTATCCAACGTGGCCCAGCACTTCGCCCCGTGCGCCTGACCACCGTCTACCTCCATCATTCCGACCTTTCTAATGGTCCCTTCCCAGCCTGACCGGTCCGACTACCTCTATCTCACACAAAGATGGCTTCATCTGCTAGTGTAAAATCTAGTCGGGCCGCTGTTAATCGAGCCTGATGATTACAGCATTACTAAGGCCTGAAGCCCTGTTGTTGTCTAGGTAAAACGGAAGTAGAAAGCCAGCAGTGTATATAACTGTGCTAACCAGATAGTGTAATATATCATGAAAACTGTGACTATCCCTTGAACTGTCACCAAGTATCTAATCCTTTAAGGGGCTATTGGGTTTAAAATCAAGCCCTAAAGGATGCCCTAGGCCGATTAGTTAGAATATGAATATAGAACTTCTAGAAGATAAAGTCTAATATATGGATATTTCTGCCTTAAATAAGTCTATTATGATTTGTCAACAAGAGTCCACGACTCTGACTCTCCGAAACTGCCAACAGTCTGTCTCAGCGTGTGTCCTGACCAGCCCCGGCATTCAGACTAAAACCCAAGTCTCAGAGACATCGATTATGCAAGTTCGGCGTGATGGCGATCAAACTGGGTACTGACTACTCATATGCGAGCAACTCTTCCAGATTTCCGGCCGAGAGATGATAAAAATTAGCAATCCCTTTAATGCCTCGATGAAGGTATCGGAAAGACAATCAAACGGGGTCACCACTAAACCTGTCAGCCTCGTGCAGCCGCTTAAATCATGGCTGCTAGCCTTCTACGCATTGCGGGCGTACACTCGGATGGCTGCGCTAGGATGGTCTCATTTCTGTGCTGGCCTTATGCAAATAAGGATAAGACAAATGTTATGAAACCTCAACGTCGCTCAGAATTCTGCGGATCCGTCGATAGTGCACGTCTTTACAGCTATGATGAGCTCCTCTGAGTATTCCAATAGCGAGTGGCTTCAAAAGGGCCAAGTCCAGAGAGATGAAGCAAACATTGTGAAGCGCATTCTCGAGTACATCTCCGTCATCCTTTGTGTCGTTGCCACCGCTATATCCATACACATCTCCTCATGGTAGGCCCTCCGAGCAAGCTGGACCGCATTGATCGCAGCCTTGTCAGCCTGCTGCATGGGGCGCCGGGGAGGAGCATCCACGAAAAGTACCGACTACGTCATCGTGCTCCGAGTCGGAGCCCAGGGAAGAGTGAGGCATAGTGGGGAATCAGAGGTACGCTCTGCTTCCTACCAATGATTAAGCCCACAGAAGCTCACATATAGATAGATCCCCTGTATCAAGAGTATCTCAAAATACAACAGTGCGTAATGACGGATGGGATCATGTCATGGTGCATACTATGTACTTTTAGCTGGACGATCGTCGAGCCTTACGGCCGAAGAGCGGGGAGAGGTATGGACTATTAGGGCAATGGCAAGCGGTCAGCATTGTGACGGATTCCTAGGCACAATGGGCACCGGAGGCGACATGCCTCCACAATCGGTGGCCATTATTGCCAGGAGATGACGGCGATAGGTGAACCCCCGCTTGAGGAGTGATAATGGGGAGGAGAAAAGCAGTTCTCCCCTCGTACAAGGATTAGAAAAGGCGAAGACATCATCTCATGTTGCCAATTGGGCTGCCTGTATGACTATTTTGCTAGGATGTACTACTGGAGATGAGCTGATTGAGGTTCAAATGCAACTCTCCGTCTGTAAGCAGAGTAGCATGTAGTATGGGCAGTGCCTGCTACATGCCTGCCCAAACTTGATGCTATTCATATAGATTGTGGGCTTGTATTGTCTCGTCATTTGTGATACTCCCCTTGTATCAAACCTACATCATTTTACAATACTTGAAACTACCCCTAGAAAGACCCAACATACGTCAGAAAAGTCAGCCTCTGTGATGGTGAAGTCACATCATCATGTTCATCGTCAACCACAGCGCCATGAACTCCAAACTATTGCAGATTGTGCAAATGAACAAATCAAATGACATCGATCCCCATGGTCCAGCCATTCACTCATCCCCATCTCGATATGTCTTCCCCAACAACGTAAGGCGCTATAGCTTCTCATCAGGCGGACGCGAGCCGATCGATTTTCTCTTCTCTTTTCGTAAGTTCCTCTCCGCTTCAAGAAGGAAGGACTGGACGCATTTGCTGCGGTCAGGACTTTGTCTTACTCGTTGATCATTCAGCAGCGCCGTCAGGGTGGCCTTGATGCTGTTGTGGTATTCGCGAAGCTGGATGTCGATGTTGCTGCCGGGGGAGACGTTTTTGGCTGGGGAGGAGTCGTGGTCGTCGGCTGGCGAAGTGTAGGAGGCGGATCGTCTGTCGGCGATGGCCGAGTGCAGGGTAGGCAGCTGGTTGGCAGATGCTGCCGGCTGAGGGGATGGGTGAAGAGGGACCATTTTGTGTGCTGGCGCTGTTGCTGTTAGAGATGTTGTCTTGAGAAGAAGTGATTGAATAAGCTTGAAGTTAAACTGCGAGTCTGTCCGTCCGTCTTATAGCTTAGCTCGTGAAGCTCAACGTACATGTCTTGGAGGCTCAGACCTCAGAACGCATCGACCTCGTTACGCCACAGGGTACCTTAGTTTTTCTGTATACGGAGTACATAGGAGCCCTTGGTATTCGTAATCTGCGCCAATCGAAACAAGGTAGCGATCTGCTTGCAGCATCATACCCATGGCCCGGCCCCTCTTGCTTGATCCTGGCTGTCTTTTCCTGCCAATGATGAGCTTGATGCCATCATGCCGCTGTCAGTCAGCGTCTCTACTTTCTACAGGGTTTGGACGTGTCTGCCATGTTTCGTGATATCACCTATTGTACACTTGTCCACCTTGGGTCTACTTTTGAGGTATAAGGGGTACTTTCTGACCGATGATCCTCGCGTCATGATAATTCTTCACCGTTATAGTGTCATGCCGCCGCTTATATCATTCTGTCTGTGGATTCGTTGGATACATTCTGGATACTAGTCTATTGGCAGTTCATTTCGCCTCCGACCGACCTCTTGGCCTGTGCTCACTGTGGGTGTGGCTAGACTGAAGGCGATTTATCTCTCGTGTACGGCTTATGCCTATCATTCTTCAGGTTCGACCATTCGACCCTTCTTGGTGACCTGTGGGTCCATCTTTCTGTGAACTATAACTATGATAGAGGAGTTCCAGCCTCAATCCATAGATATATGTGCATTTTCGCCCCTGGTTATACCACAGGTCCAGCCTGGGTGTCCAACAACATGTCAGCAAATGACCTCACTGTATGCAGTTTCCTGGCTATAGCTTCAGACAGGTAGGATACAGGGGCACGAACGTCAGGATGACTCAATTGTGTTGATCTCCACGTGGCGGCGTCATTCAGACGAGTAACAAGAGGTATGCTGGTTATTTGTCATGGAGGGAGGAATGTGATACCAGTATCTCTTTGAGGGTTTAAACTTGAGTAGGTGTTCAGATATGCATAACAACAACAGACTTTATTTTAGGAGATCTAGGGACATACTATGATGGTGTGTAGTTGAGGTGACCTCAATAGCCTCATGCATACATCAAGGCCACACCCCTGACGTCATTGGCCGCTGGTCACTGGTGCTGTGGTGCAACCAGGAAGCTTGGCATTATGCAGTATAGACAAGTACTGAAGTACTTATGACGGAGCAAAGCAAGCATTCTACAGGGTAGTCTATCTAACCTTACCCGGCCTATCTTACCTAGTATCCCCCGCTCCATTACAAGCCCATCTAGCCAAGCATCCCAAACACCCCCACGTCATAAAACCGGACCCCAGATCGCCGCCCCTTTAGCAGATTCCGCCTCGCAGACAAATACGGGAACTCTCATACCTGATGGCTTGGCAGACCTTCGTTACAGAAAACCCACTCCTCAGACGGCTGTTGTTGCTTCCCGAACGCCGGCCTGCAGCTCGGCTCGGCTCCAGCTCCGACATCGGTTCTCCGGGATCATAACTAGCTTTGATATGGTCTTGACAACACCGAGGAGAGCACGCGATCGATTGCGTCTAGACAGCTGATGGCATCGCCTCATAACAGAAAAAGGAAAATATACAACAGCTGGGTTTGCTGGTGGTCACCCGCTCAACTACTAACCGGCCGGCGTATGGCCTCTCTACAGTCAATAGGTGGCTAGGTGTCTCCTGGGTGAGTAAAGGGTGAGCACCACTTTAAAGTTATACAACCAGGACGAATTAGAGTGAGTATGTGAGGTATAGGTTGTGTATCTCGACTCTTGCTGATGTCTCACCCAGATCATGTGACCGCATGCAATCTACCCTAAGCTGTGTTATTATGCCTTGACACAGCTTTTCTATAATAACCATATGAGTTTATTCTGGAATGCTCCTAAATTTGATTCTTGGACTGGTACATGTTCATAAATCAAAATGTCAGACAGTATAAACTGGGAAATTCATTCATCTTTTGTTAATGACACTCCTCAGCATCGATTTCTTGTCTTAGCGGCCATCAGACTCCTGAAACGAGTACAGCCACATGCGGGGAGGCGTTCTTCTCTCTCTCTCGCAATCTGTGTGTCAAGTATGGACTACTTGATCAGCTATCTGAAGCTTCGGTAATGGGTTATATTTCCAGCCATACATCCATTCCTGTGCCCAGGTCTTTTGCGCCTTCGAACATCGCGGTTAGGCCTATATATTTTCATGGAAAGAATTCATGGCGACATGATTGCGGTTCGGTGGGTGTATCGAAGTGAGGAGTTAAAGATGAAGCTTTTGTTACAACTAAGGCAGTTCATCCAAGAGATTATGGGTCTTGTCCCTCCTGCGGGATGTGGCATTGCAAACATTGATGGCGGAGCTCTATATGACTGTCGGTTACCTGGACCCTCACTGCGATTTGAACCGTTTAGTAATATTCAAGACTTTCATTACCATCTACGTGAGGGCTTGCAAAGGCATCCGGATCTTGATCGGGGATAGAAGACCTTATCATCCAGCATCAGAGTAGCTGACCGCTGAAGTTTACGCACGGCGATCTTAGCAGCTTGAATATTCTGGCTCATGGAGACAGGATTGTCGGTATTATTGACTGGGAAACAGCTGGATAGTATCCGTCATATTGGGAATACACTACTGCTTGTTATGTAAACCTGCAGAACCATTTCTGGCGCGAGGAGATCTATAAATTTCTGGACCTGATGCCGAAGGAGCTAGCAATGGAAGAAACTCGCCGAAAATATTTCGGTGATTTCTAGTCTGTGGCTACCTATCTTGGTTGGATTCGCTCTACTCCATATCCATTTCGTTTTCCTTGGATCTCATAACCAAGGCACAAGTCTTGCCCTTGCCCTCCTTGCCCTCCTTATCCTCCTTGTTCTTCTTCTCCTTTTCTCCTTCTCCTCCTCCTTCTCCTTGTTGGCTCTGAGGAGCTCTTTGGCCTTGGTGCGCTTGCGCGCAACTTCCGCTTCTTCGGCCGCGGCGGCCTTCTCGAGCCGATCGACTTCGGCCCGCTAATATGATAATATCATATGTCAGCCTTGGCTCACTACTATACGTACGTAGTGGCAATGACAGAGTTACCAGCGTCTTGATGGATGAATCCATCTTCTTCTTCTTGATGGCCTTCTTGTCCTTCTGGCGCAGGGCACGGGGGTGGTTAACACACGGTGCTTCCATTTGAAAGCACCCCCCTTTGTTGATAATGACTTGCTGTAAAACATCCGTCAGATTCGACATCAACTTTACATTTCCAACTCAACATAGACTTACTTTCACAATTCTTGCCATGGTTGTTATATCGGAAAACAACACCGGATCCCATAGGGGAGCAGTATTATCATCGGTTTAGAAGAAAGCAGCGTACCAACGGAGTACCGCGGAGAGGTCGTGGGCGTTTCCTAGCATTCCAGTCGACGTCTCGTCAGGGTCAGCAAAGCTCATGGAAACCAGGAAGGGCACATACAGCGATACAAGTCGCGTTGCGACGCGAGCACTGGGAACACGAAAATGATTTCTTCGCGTCGAAAACGCAGTCAATCGCGAACGGAGCGCCGCCGTGAGGGCCGAAGTTTCTCGTGGACGTGCGTAAACAATGCATGCACCAGAGCAGTTGGGGACTGCTGCTGCTGCTGTTGTTTTTATTGTTGTTTTTGCTGTCGTCGCTGTTGATATGGCTGCTTTTCTTCTTAATCAGTCCATAAGATACACATGTTCTAAGGAACATATCTATACTCACGACACGGCACAAGGATGGAACGACGATATTGCAGGAAAGACAAAAAAGAGACACGAAAAGGAAAATTGGAAATGGACGCCTGTATATATAGATCTCAGCTTGTGGTTAGTCAGCTATTGTTGTAGACTTGTAATAGTATCCTATTGATTTGCAGCAGGTGACAAAGACTTATTATGTCCTACACACTCCTTACTATCGTTAATGCAACAACACAATCTTATATAAGATCTGCTTTCTCATTGAGCAGACAGAATAATGAATTATTTTTCAACTTCCTTCTATATAAAGTCACTCCTTTGCTTGAATTGACATTGTGTATTGATCCTTGGGTGCATGCTCACCTAACATGTTGAATACAACCATGGTTCATGTCCTCGTCGCCAAGGGCCTGACCAATATTGCGAAGATACGGATCAGGCCCTTGGCGATGAGTACATGTTGACATAAATATATGGTATTATTGCATCGGGTGGGCAGGGGAAGGTTATATCTATCGCGCTGAGCAGCCTTGAACAGTGGCTTATGGCTTTATCAAATTCCTCCACCAAACAACAATGTTTTCAGCAACAAAACTGCGTGGTCATCTCGAACCAGCTTTTTGCATGGTTTGCGGCCTTAGGGAGGGGGAGGATAAGTGGCTCAAAGCAAGTGAGTCGATCACTGACGGTTCATCAGAAGCTTTATGTTACTAAATACATTTAACTTGGTTAAGTCTATTGCACGCCGACTGGGGTGAAAATGACCAATCCCAGGCAGGACCCCTGGTATAGGTCACTCGGGAGTGAGATACAGAATGGAACTGACGTGTATCTCTTTCATGAGCAGCCATGCTGGGATCATCTCTTGGAACATTTCGGCCCTGACAAACTTCATTTTGGCCAGTCTCTTTGAAGCATTGGAGCGTTTGCCACTCCCGAGAGACTATACCTTTCCTTCATATGCTTCATTACCAGGCAGAATAGGTCTAGAAAACTGGGTTGGAACGAAAGACGACAAACATGAATTTCCCATCCTCCCTGGCCGGTTTCCCCTTCCGAGTCTGGAAGAGCTGATGCGGTTCGCAAAAAGCCCTCCCAAACCCTCCCAAACCCTCGCCAATTATCGCGCAAAGGCCCATCAACCATCCAATAGATGGTTTTGGACGACTCTCATTTGACATTCTTGTGATTATATCAAGCATGCTACCGACAAAGGAGGCTCTAGACCTCCGCCGTGTGACACGAGCTGCTATCCCACTTTTCGCCAGCTCACAATTCTGGAAAACGCGATTTGCCATCGACAGAGAACGTGGCTTTCTCCTCCCCATAGTCCGGAAATTCTCACCGCCGCAGGGCGATCATGGGATCGACTGGAGGCTCCTGTACCATTGCACTGCCCGTCTGAACTGTAGTGATTGGTTTGAAATAGAGATTCGGGCCTGGGAAACCTTGCGCTGGCTTCGAGACACAGCTTCGGCTATACGCCATGAGAGACCACGTCCGCCCGACTTCCGGGGTAGTCCAGCCCTGCAGCATTATCACAATACCAGCCGTCGGAACACATTCATCGAGTCCGTGGAGATAACATCGTCGTTATGCAAGATTGCTATATCTGCACTCCAGGAAGCAGGAGAAGTGAACATCACCGGGATCGAGTTTATCTTTGATGATGGTCGTCCCAGCGCCATGCTTGGCTACGCTACCCCTGGAGCGCGGCAGATGACACGCAAGAAATATGCACGCAAAAAACGTAGAGGCCCTTTCGATGCCCATATGGTGTGGCCATATCCAGGTGTTCGGGTGACGATGGATGTCGTTGGTCTACGTGGCATCGTGTACCTCAAAGATGCGAACGGGATCCACGGCGTTGCTATATACCATGGTGGAGAGGAGTTTGACGAGATTGATGACACTCTCCATGTTGGCCTTGACGCACATGGCCATGACGAACAAGAGCCGGTTGCATATTCTGTCTCCCTGGACAAGGTCGAAAAGGTCATTGCAGTAGTTGATGTGAGTCTGTGCTTATTTTCCTCGCCTTCTTGCCCTGCTTGACGCTCGCATAGAACCGCAAGATGATTGACCTGGGAATTTCCGGGACGACAACGAAGCGGTCTGAATACGTTGAGGATAAGTGGGATGATGTTGTGCATTGGTATAAACAAGATAATGCCTTCCTTCTCAAATCCATGTGATATCTGTGGGAGAGTGATTTTAGTTTAGAATTTGGCGCGGTCTCCAGGAGATTGAGCCTACTATACCGGTTATGCTAGATAGCCCGAATTATATTAATCGCTGAATTGATCATGTGTGTCTGGATGCGTAACTGACACGGACCTAACACGGCTCGCATCTTGTCGCTCTGTAGACCAATTGTGACTGTTTGCTCGGGCAAGAGCTGGCACTCATTTGAGATTTATGTACTCGATATAAGATACTAACCCGGAGACAAGGCTATAGATTCTTCTCTACCAAGTGGGCAACGGGCCGATTTATTCTTTTCCCTCGCACTGACTCCAAGTATTGATTTTCGAAACTTCACTACCCTCACAGGCTACGGTACTGAGGCCTCTTCCCAGCCGTTCTTTGAGGCCTAAAGGCTCTTCAAGGCTCCCTGCCTTCGGGTATACCGAAGAGAGGATGCCCCGAAGGGGGAGGATGATGAGTTCTGAACGCGACGACATCACGCAAAAGCATGATACAAGCCCCTAGGTTGGGTTAAGAACCGTCCCTTAGTCTTGCTGCACAAGCCCCTAGATCTGGTTCAAAACGAGCCATCTCTTAGTCTTGCTAGTGCTCAGAGCATCATCCCCCATTGCCGTCGCTTAATATGTATTTAACCCCGTCCGCATCTCCATCGAAATGGCAGTCAGGATGGCATGGATACTGTGCGCAGCAGTGTGAACGCTCAGCGGGCGCTGTGGTCCTGCTAATGGAAACGGCGTAAGGATGCAGCCAGTGTTGTTTTGCGAGTTCATCGTGTAGAAACAAACCCTATCTCCAACAGCAACAATTCTGCACATAGTCTGCACATTCCCGAAGGTACCACGGGCTTTCTTCATGTAGGACTGGAGTTTGCTCTCAACACCAGCTCACGGATACACATTGAACCAGCCAATGTCCGTGTTATGCGGGAAGGCCTTAGCCTCGACGAGGATCACTTTGTGCATACCTGAAGGGCGCACGTTGGTGATAGCAACGTTGGTCGCAAATCTCCTTGGGGGTTTAACAAGTGCTTCCCTCTCGGTACCAAAACCATCGCGCAGTGGGAAGTAGTGGTTGAGGATATTCGACCACAAGTGATCGATCCTCTCCTGATAAGGGTGATTCGCAGGGTTTATCTCGGAGAGGTAAGACGCAATAATAGGAAGCGTCCAGTAACCTGCCTGTGGCTGCGCCATATTGAATTCAAGTTTGACGTTCGAAATAGAAGGACCAGCTTCTGTACAGAATCTTGAAGCTCGAATGACACAGTTTGACAGCGAATGATCAAGAAGAGGGAGATGGAGGAGAAGAAGAAGATATATACTCGCATGGCTGAGCACCTGCATAGCCAAAATCACATCACTCATCATATCAATAGCCATTGACATGTCATCCATAACCTGATTGTGTTAGTTCTGAAGACTCCGGAGTGAATGTGAATTGATGGATTGGCGACACAGATTGACTAAGATGGCGAACAGCCTAAAACTTCCGATTCAGGCGACACAATGCCATTCATCCCATGCCAAACATGCAAATCGAGTAAGTGAGCCGGGGGAATGTGGTTTGTTGATTCTTTTTATTGTAACATCATATGTGGATATTATTGTAGCATAACAATGTAATGATCCTCTGAGCACGGAAAGCCACCAAGGTCAATAGGTAGATTGGGAGGAATAAAAATCAATACATTTCTTTCTCGTATATGGATTGCAACAGTCCTAAGCTTGCTCTCTGCCCTGCTATGTGTGGTATGGAGCCCTGGAAAACTATCTCTGTTGCACTTGGTGGAAAGCAATTCAAAATTACTACAACTCCATACCAACATCTGCCTAGTGGTGAGTGCACTGGCTTTATCATCACTTCCAAGGAGTTTGGTGTTGCAACGAATGGTAAGCCTAATGCTATCTACTTCACCGGCGACACGGTGTACATTGGTGAGCTTGCCAAAATACCGGAGAAATTCCACGTTGTGTGCGCTGTGATGAACCTCGGCTCCGCGTTCGCTGTTCTTCCTGTGGGACATTCCAAATCACTATGGATGGCAAGCAAGGCGCTCACCTTTTCCGCACTATCAAGGCTGACTACCTTGTGCCAATGCACTATGAGTCTTGGGGACACTTCGTTCAATTTGGGAAGGATTTGGTCAAGGTCTTTGAAGAGGAGGGTATTATGGACAAAGTTCGTTGGCTGAGCCCGGGAAAGTCTGTCAAGGTCCCGTAGTTATCATACAATCGTTACAGAGTGTAGAAGCGGGGTGGAGGTGTACTTCGGGCCTGAATCCGTTCCATTATCTGGAAATCTTGCATTACGACGTAAGGTTGTCACTAAATGTCCCTAGTAGAATTCTTGGCAATGATGGTTGAAAACAATTATGCTTTAAATCGTCCTGAAACTAAGATGGATCAAGCGGGTTACTATATGCCAAATCACGCTGATCCCAGCCTTTCATACACCATGGCGCCTGCAGTGAGCCAAGGTGCAACCCACAAGCAACCAAGTGCAGCGTAAGACCGGACCTTGAAATATCTCCAGCCGGTTAAAGTGCCTGCCAAGACGGTGGTCCAGATAATGGCTTTCTCTTCCAAAGTTCGAACTCCGACGCGCGACCATTGAATGTTGAGCAGTGCTGATACAATCTTAGCGGGCATTCGTCTTCGTTCAGAGAGCATAATAAAGCCTACCTGAAGCGGCCAGCAGAGCATTCACCATATCCCAAGCGGTGGTTGCCGTTGCTTTTCCGAGTGCATGCTTTTCATTAGGAGGAATGGTGGCAATCGCAGGGTCGACCTCCTTGATCCCAAACAGGATATGGCCTGGGATCGAAACAGCACTGATAGTTGCGGAGGCGTAGTACAGTGTCGTAGGGATGAATGACATGTTAGCGAAGATAGGCGATATGCTGATCAAAAACCAACGGGTATCGAATGTACGGAGTGACTATTACTTGGGTCTCGGCCTTCTTATAAAAAGTTCGCGCGGATCTCATAGGTTCAGGTAGTCAAATGCCAGTCGACTTTTGTTCTTGTGGAGGGCAGCTTTCTTTTATAATCAAAAATGACAAACCACACTGGGTATTGTACAGTAGTACCACATCTAAAAGCCAGCTGTGGCCTACCCTCAGTCTGGAGCAAGTTAATACCCCCATCAGTTCCTCGGTATTTCACCAATAATTCTAAGAGACTTGGCGATTTATGTTACCTCCGTGGGCTAGTCTGCCTTGTTCAGGTTCCGCCAATATGTCAAGATTCTTGAGCCCTGTAGGCAACCACGGCAATATTTCTACAATGTGAGACTCTAGTGTCTCCGGGAGTGTTGTGTCTTTGAATTATAATGTTACCAGCAGGTCTCCACGCCCAGATAACTAGTTTAATTTTGACTTCTGACCTATCTAATCATACAGATACTCCTTGACAGCTTAAGCCCAGACAGGTCTTCCTTTGTACTTATACATTATAGGGGTAATACTATATTCTAGCCCTTTAATTGCGCTTGTAAGCTCTTCTCTAAGCCTTTCATTCCAATCACCTTAATTAGATAGGTATAAGTGTGAAAATAAAAGACCATAGCTTTACTTAGAGGGAGGTGACGCAAGGTCTACCTCTTATAGCAGAGAAATTCCTACTTTCTCTTAGTATATAACTATGCAGGATGATAAAACCACATATCTCACTAGGAAGAAAGCCTTACCAAATTAATATTTAGCTCTAGTAGCTCGATGGTCCCTTTCTACTCTGGAAGTTAGGCATTATTAAGTACAGCGAACAGCTCTGACTCCATTACGATGGTCCAATTAACCCTCAACATATTTTTTTCCAGCTAGTAACCTGTCAGAGAAGCAATCCATGCTCCTCCCTAGCCTCTCCTTATAGCCAGGGACCAGTCTGTATATTCATAGGAGTTTTCCTAAAGGTCAAACCCAGACAGGAAGTAAGTAGTATAAGCTTTAAGAATCAGTTAACAAGCTTCTTCGACAGGCTTTGAAATTTATTAATAGTACTTAGGGGTTCCATGTCTTCTTTCACAAATAATATAACATTTTATCTTAATAATTAAAAATTTATAGAATCATGGCACAAAAATGAAGTAGATGTTGTCATTCCACCCATTAGGATCTGGGGTATTTCCCCTCTTTTCTTGGCGGATATAAATACTCAAAACAGTTTAGTTTTGGACGAGGGTCCACCCACGGAACGCCACGCACGCCGCACGGCCATCCACGAGAATAGGTTATGTATACAGTTTCTGGGGAAGAGATATTTTACAAAATGGTACTTGATGCCGGAGCCTGCTTGTGAGAATCAGCAAGTGGCTTTGTTGGCCGAGTTGCCCACACTTTTTGTTGTATCATATATGAAAAGGGAAACAAGCATTTGGACTATTGGGGCCCATACCATTGGATGATACTTCCAATCAGCAATTCAACTGGGTGGCTGCCATCTACTCCCTTCTAATCTCCCAATCATCACGAACTAAGTTTGCAGCCGAAGATGGTCGGGACTGACTTGGTCCAACCGCCGAGAGTAACTACGCATTGGTGTGCTTTGCAGGTTCCCAGTTAGATAAATCAGTAGATTCGATCCATATTTCTCAATAATCTCCTCCTACTCGCCTAGTAATTTGCTCAACATAGACAGTCCCCAAGGAGAAAATGTGAATGATTGCATCGTACATTGAGCCAACCCACAGTGCCGATTTGGCATCAAACAACAAGCTTAGAAGACATTTGGCCCAATCCCCAAGCCTCGAACCCCGAATTATACGTCCGATTTGATCGGACCAGTTGACGGCCTGGCTTCAGGAAATTCCATTTCCGCATTCAACAGGACTTGCATAAAGCGCTTCCGGCCCCTGACAAACCAGTAGATTGCAGATAGCAACGCAAACACGCCGGTAGCCGCAATGGCATAGTCTACCAGACAAGAGAACCATCCGTCAGACAATCCTTTGAAACTTTCGGACATGGGTATTCTTACTCATTGTCGAACCCGTTACTGGACGGGCAGGTGGAAACATGAAGAGCACTGTCGTAAACGAGATATACGCGATTGACACCTATTTCAGGATTAGTGATGGACCAGGAGCCAGGGGATAAATGGAAACGGTAGAATATACAAGGTTTACAATCCATCCAATGACGGGGTAGAGGCTCCAAGGGCGCGCAGGGAGCAATTTGCGGCCCCGTATGCAATGAATCAGAATCGGAAGGCAATACGATATATCAAAGCATATGACGGTCGCAGCGCTGAGTGCATTGAATGCACTAGATGGAAGATACGATAAGTTGGCCGTTAGACAAAATCTGGTTTGCTAAGACAAGGGCTCAAGCAGCAGTAGACTGTACCTGGAAGAGCCAAGGAATACACACCCGCAGCAGATAACTGCAGCTGTATTAAGAGCCAGGGCATTCACAGGCGTTTTGAGCCTGGCATGAACAGTCGTCCAAATGGAAGAGAATGGTAGCCCAGAGTCTCTGCATGAGCAATTAGTACAAGTTGTAACTCGCAAGAGATGATCTAATAGGCTGAGTCTGGTGACTTGTTCGTACCTAGCGAGAGCGTAGATCATCCGACTAGATGTGGTTGTTATGGCTACCACACCTAGCAAAAGGCATCCAATGGGGAAACTGGAGGATTGCAGAGTGAAGTGAGTAGCTGTCAGACTTTGTGACATGATATCGTGGGAGGAATACGAACAGTAGCAAGCAAATCGACCCCACTTTACTGTTGGTTGCATCAAAAAAGATTTGAAGTAGAGGCCCTGCACCAGCGGTGATAATGGTGTCCATATCGCGAGACACAAAGAGGAGGGCAACAATAAAGATCAAGCTGGTGGCGAGGCCAATTGCCACGCACGCGACCATGATGAGCGGTCCATCCACGGTTGGCTTGGGAATTTCTGGTCAAAGGATGAATGATGTTAGGTGAGAAAAGCCGTAACAAGGAACGCATGTGGCATTTACCCTCGATCATGTGCGCAACTGCGTCCTGGTCCCAATCAGTTAGTCAGGAATGTCAAGTTCTGATGGGCGCGAATACTTACAACTCCGACAAGGCATAGTCCACCTTGGAGCAGCTGAGGGCTGTGGATCAGTTTTCAAGTTCAATGATAGGGCAAGGGTTCTGGCATACCCCCAAAAGCCAAGCCAAGCCATCGGGCCCTGGTTACCAACAATCAGCTATACTGAAATCAAAGTGAAGGAGACGATCAAACCGAAGTGAAGAGGACTTACATCCAGTCTCATTGATGAAACTAGTGAACACAAAGCTAAAGGAGCCGTCAGATTGACTCACAATATGGGAATAGTAGGACCAAGCGACATTAACTTGTGCCAGCTGCAACGTACCTCGCAGAATTGTAATTTGGCGACGCGCATGCCAACACCGTCACGAAGATGATGAAGAAGCCACAGAGAGACCAGATCACTAGATACATCGCGTTAGTCATGCGCGTAAAAACCCAGTCGTTGTCTGGACAGAAAAGCTTTACATGCTGCTTTATTCAGCGCGGATAGAATGCTGTTCCAGAATGCGTTGACCAACAGAGCTATCACGTTGAAGCCGACATATATGAGAAACACATGCCATCGTAGGAAGTTAAAATCCTAGAAAGCAAGGTCAGGGATAGATCTAAATCCATACCAAGTGGAGATGGCCGAGGTTTATGGGCAGGAGAACAGAGAACGATAGATGTTGTTTTACCGGATGAACCAGGATTACAGTGTCAGTGACCAGTTGGCTCCCAAAAAGTGAGGCCGTCGCGCAAAGGCAGATCTGCAAATCCATGGTTAGTCATGACGGTGCAGTCATAGCCTCGTGCTATGCTAGGGACCCTTGCATACCCACGCGGCGACATTCGCCCAGGCCGTAAACCATGAGAGCACCCGCTTGTAGTCATCCCAGGAGACTGGCGCTTCAGTCAGCAAGACGTTCATCGAGCATAGGTCACTAGCGTCGCTTACCGGCTGTAAGAAAGTGGCGCGGATAATCTGTCATTATCTTCCCAACCCATTTAATTTTGGACCACCTGCAAGGAAGTCTTACCAGCTACCCAACGATATTGTCCCGCGGCACTGTCCAAGTCCGAATATCAGCGTCGCCCAACTAGCTCCCTTGATTTCTTTTCCTCTACCGAGGAGTGTATTGTTCATAAAATATGAAATGGGATGCGGAGAGACAAACGTTGGATATGCGGACAGAAATTCTGCCAGAGAGGCGGCAATA